GGGGGGGGGGTTGGAGTTGGAGCTTGGAGCGGCGGTGACTACTCTAGAACACACAGGGACCGTGGGGAACAAAAGTAGCCCCCCTCCAGAAGGAAGGACAGTGTCATCGCCAATTCAGAGATGATTGGAGGATCTACAGCCGAGTGATACACAAATAGCTTACACACTTGTTAAAGGTTAGTGGACTTGAATACATTTTTAAGGTTTAACACTTTTATACAAAATATATTTCTCAACAGTCACAAAGAATATAAATACATTTTTTTGTGCCCCAAATGCCTCTGCACAGCCAGATATGTTCTTAGAAGTAACGGTGACATCATCACTGTGCTGTACATGGCCTGTACAAAGAGTTGCGCTGTGGAAGGGGCCCAGAAGGCTCCGCCCACTACAGGCTGCCTGCAGAAAATTACAGGAGGGGGCTGAGATGAGACCAGCCACCCTGCACAAGGAGAGCGCAGCAAAGTGTGGTCTTAATTACAGGAGGGGTGGAGACAAGACCAGTCACTCTGCACAAGAAGAGACAGCAGTAGTGACTGGTCTTTATTACAGAAGGGGACGGTGACAAGACCAGTCACCCCGCACAAGGAGAAAGAGAGGCAGTGACCGGTCTTTATTACAGGAGGGGGGCAGGGGCAAGACCAGTCACCCTGCACATGGAGAGAGAGATCTGGAAGAAATACACAAAGCTCACCTGGATTCAAGAAGAACACACAGGACTCTCGTACGAGGACAATATTTGCTTATTCCAGTGTTCAGCTTAAAAAATCCCATTGACATGAACATGGTGATTGGAAATTCTCATTATACATAGGTCATGAAACATACATAGTATTATAGTCGTCAAAAAATATTTAATTTATATATCTTCTTACAGATGAACACTTTACAACCATCTCCCCAGGGAGGTCAGAAGCTCCCCTTACCTTGTACGACTTTCCCTAACGCACCCACATCGGATTCCAAGCAGCTCCCGTCCTATGAGGATGCTGTAAGACAGGTAAAACGACACAGATCATTGCTCATTGTGCCTAATGTTTTCTGTCTCAGAAGAAATCATATGATTGATAAGTCATGGTTGGATTAAATATTTGAACTTAAACATTGTATCTATACGTTCTGTGATAGGCACGTATTCACCCAAACATGCACTCATGTTTCTTGGCTCGGGATCTCCCATAACTGATCCAAAATCTTCCGCCTCTCATTATAAAATCCAATGATGTCATCTGTGAGTTGTTCTCTATGGGATACGTTCTCTTGGCTTCAATATTTAATTTAATAGAAAATATGCTGAATGCTAAAAAAACCAAAAAGGTATAAATATTCTCATAAATGGAGTTGGATTGCGAGAATCTGGACAATCCTAAATTATTTAAAGTTACCCTAAAAAGCGCAGATAATTCAGATATTTCTCCCAACCTTGAATACTGTAATTATATTATCAATCTTCAAAACCTTTACGCATCACAAATAAAATATCATACTAAACCCTTTCCTCGCTACAATGTTTTCTCTCCACAGCAAGTCACAAGGAGCCAACAGATAGACGAACTTCTTGATGTTCTGATCGAAAGTGGAGGTAAGGCTACCACACAATCTGGAAACTTCCAACTTTTTTTGAACTTTGAGACGTCGTAACATTTTAAAAAATATATTTACTATCATTTGTGTTTTTTGTTTTTTAAATATTAAAATAAAATAAATGTATTATTTTGTTTCAGAAATGCCAGCAAATGCCAAAGATGAGCGGTCATGTGGGCAGAAGATGACTCAACTAGGCGTGCCAGCAGGAAACGTAAATCTATCTGCTCCAAGTTCTCATCTTCCTTACGAAAACTGCTCCAATAATGACAACCACCTTGAAGTCTTACTGAATTCTCACAGCCCCATCGGCAGAGCCACTGAAATCCCTCTGCTTAAGATCGGAAATGACGATGTGCACTTTGAACGTGTTATTGAAGGGTTTTCAGGTAAAGTGACTGAAGATATTCTCCCATCCAGAGAGATCTTAGAAACTTCTCTGTCTCCTATGGAGACCCAGATGTCACCTTCATCTGTGGAAAGCGCTGCCCTCCATCATATAAGCTTTACAGAATCTCCTTGGGAGACCATGGAGTGGCTGGATCTAACCCCACCGAGCTCAGCCACGGGTTTGGGATCCCTTACTACTACTGGTCCCAGCATTTTCAACACTGATTTCCTAGATGTTAATGATCTCAACTTAAACAATGCAATGGACCTACACTTAGAACACTGGTAATCGCCATCATTAGTTGTTCAACTTTAGAGCCAAAGAGGTTCAATGCTATGTGCCAAAGAATGGGTCCACTAAAGACCAGCCAAAGGTCCACTAAAGACCAGCCAAAGGTCCATTAAAGACCAACCACAGGACCACCTAAAGACCAGCCAAAGGTCCACCTAAAGACCAGCCAAAGACCACTATCGCCATCATTAATTGTTCAACTTTAGAGCCAAAGGGGTTCAATGCTATGTGCCAAAGAATGGGTCCACTAATGACCAGCCAAAGGTCCACTAAAGACCAGCCAAAGGTTCATTAAAGACCATCCAAAGGTTCACTAAAGACTAGCCAAAGGACCACTAAAGACCAGCCAAAAGTCCACTAAAGACCAGCCAAAGACCACTATCGCCATCATTAATTGTTCAACTTTAGAGCCAAAGAGGTTCAATGCTATGTGCCAAAGAATGGGTCCACTAAAGACCAGCCAAAGATCCACTGAAGACCAGCCAAAGGTCCTATATAAGTGCTATAGGCCATATGTTTGAATGCAGTCCAGCTATAACAGCCAGACTTCCAATGACTCAAGTGGTAAATCGACTTTTTACATATCTGTCTGATCTACCAGTTCTAGTCCAAAACTACTTCGATATTTTGAACTTCATCACACAAAAAAAGGCACTGGCAATGTAGATTCAGAAAAAAAATGCATACTATGTAAAATTTTCATGCGGATTACTGTCTTCCATTTTGAATCTGCAACGGCCGAGCTGTATTATAAGACAATGAACGATGGCAAAAGGCTTCAAACAAAACATGTCCACAACAGGCTTTAAGAGCTTACTTCCTGCCCCATACGTCTTCTTTGGTATGTAAAGTTGGGTCGACTCCTAGCAAATGTGACTTGGCACTCATGACATCAAGAAAATTCCATTTTTTTCAACGAGACGGTCCTTTTTATAAGTTATTTTTATTTTCAGGTCTTATCTTTGGTACCAGCACAACTGAGAGGGATTTTAGCTTCCGATTAGCTCTTAAATCCTGTATGATGAAACTTATTCTTTTTAGTCACTGGAAATGCAATGTTGTACAGTCTTGAAACAATTTTTATTTTTGCTTTTTGTCTGTATATTTTTGGGCACAGAATAATATTCATTTCAACCACAATTTGCTTTTTTGGTAAAGTCATCTTCATAGGGTTTGATGGGGCTAAAACATGAGAATTCTATGACCTTGTCCTAAACCTCAATTTGAGTTATTATCAGTCTCCTGTAATCCTTGTACAGCAGCATTAGGAGCCAGGTGTGCTGCATTGAGATGTACTGATGGGGTCAATGAGAAAGGTGGTGGCATCATCAGTCTTGTCTAGGAAAATTGCTGCCTAAGGCAATGTTGTTCCGAGGGGGGCGGTGCTGTCAGGGAATGGCCAGTGGGTAGTTGTGCGTGGCTGATTTGTTCAAAGAGGGCAGGGAGAAAGGGTGGCAGACACTGGACTTCTCTGTCAGGAGTCCTGCCCAGTTTACTGACGTCACTGGTTGCCAGGAGCTAGGTGGGACAGAAGCCAGAGCATCCCCGCTCAGCATCTGGCAAGTGGTGACGTCAGTGAGCTGGGTGGCACAGCACAGAGCGCCACAGGTTCCTAACAGCTCTTAACAAACTGGGACATCATGGCCGCCCCCTGCCACTTCCTACTACCACCCAGCCAGGAGCTAGGTGGGACGGAAGTCAAAGCATCCCCAATCAGCTCCTGGCAAGCAGTGACGTCAGTGAGCTGGGTGGCACAGTACAGAGCGCCACAGGTTCCTAACCGCTCTTAACAACCTGGGACACCATGGCCGCCCCCCTGCCACTTCCTACCACCACTAAACCCGTCCCCAGTTAGATGCCACCTGAGGCAACCGCCTCGGCCGGCCTCATTACATGTACAGACCTGGGTCTCGTTACTGCTTCTTCACTGTCCAATCACAGACAGGGGTGGAGAGGTGACCAAGCTTTGTTGCTTAAATGCAGAGGAGAAAAATCAGGTCACCAGGCTGGCTGTGCTGCATGGAAGATTTAATAAGTTTTAATAAATGTCTCCTTCGGGGGGGGAAATAAAATTAAAATAAATTGTTACTCAACAGCAAACCATGTTACAAGTTTACAGAATTAAAAGGAGAAAATGTAGACTATTCCAGCTTTTTATTATGTTATTCTTTGTGTCCATTTTTTTTTTTTTTTAGGTTTTGGGGAAGAAGCCACAATAATGGTGTTTTATATAAGACAAGCGTTAGCCATTTAAAGATCTTGGAATTCAGCTAGCCTTAAATTCTGTACATATAAATATCAGTACCGGAGTGTAAATGATATATGTAAATATAATTTTGTGTTTTCTGGACTTTTGTAAAAAAATACATTAAAATGTAAGTACCCCGTGT